AACTGAACTCTGTGTCATTCCTTTGAATAAAACAATGTTTCAACACTTTTGTTAACAACCCTTCCCCTCCCAGGCTCTTAGAATGCTTTCAGAATAAAATCTAAATCCACTTCATTGTCTATGCAAGGAATTCTCTTTCCTCATGTCTAGCTATATCTCTCATTCACTCTCTATTCAAAGGACACACTTAACCTGCCTTGTTCTTTCTTCCTGACCCCACCCCCACCCCATGCCTTCACAGAAAGTCATAGCCAAGGCTCTGCCGCCATTGCCCCACTTTATTCAGACAGCAGATTTTCTCCTCGTTCGAACTTTTGCTCAAACATCCCCTACTCCAGAGTCTCACGTGAATCCCCAAGATGGTTTGAGTCTCCTGTTTCTGTCATAGTTCTTATTTCCTTGTATTGAAATTGTTCATTTTTCTGAGTTCCTCACCAGACAATGGAATCCTTAAAAGGTGATGTTTTTTATAAAGATGTGTTTTATTCATTTTGGGGTAATTAGTAGCTAGAACAGTGCTTTGCACAGAGTAGATGCTCACTATATGCGGAATGAATAAATTCATTAATACGCAGTGGAGGGAAACACAAATATACAGAAAAAGTAACCATTCAGTGAACTCGGGAAAGGGCATCAATTTTGCCTGACCTTTATCAGAATTCAGAACTAACTCCAAATCGATGAAGTACTTTTTCAGGTGTCGCAGGCATAACCTATACGCTCTTTCCCTACCCATCCTTGACCGTTAGAACCCCTTTTATCATTTGCAAGGCACTTTCCATGTATTCACCTGCATGAGCCATTTCATCATTGATGTCACTGCAAGGCCCTGTTACCCAACTGGGATTTAATCCGACAAGTTCGACATGACCAAATGGTGGAGAAGAGGAGCACTGGGCTTGGAGTCCAACATGCTGAGCCCCAGGCCCTATGCTGGTCGACTATTGGTGTGTTGTTATTGGACGGATCTCTTAACCTGTCTAAACTGCAGATCCCACTTCCACTTTGCCATCCTTAGTGAAGTTCAAGTGTCATTTTTATACAATGTTGTCATTATCATCCAAGCTGGCATTTGGAGATAGTGAACTGATCCAGAAAGAGCACAGACTTAGGGTATGGTGGGCCTGGTTTTGACTCCCAGTTATAGCACATAATAGTTGGGTAATTCTCTGAGCCACTTTTCTCATATATAAGGATAGTAATGATTTTTCTCTTAGGTTATTGTAAAGCATAGTTGAGATAAAGAATATAAAAATATTTGTAAATTTTTCAAGTGCTATATAAAAGTATTATTCTTCATGCTGGGCTAGATTTAAGAACGACTTAGAGCAGCATTTCTCAGAGTTCCCTGTGTGCCACAAGACTGTTTAATACCTATACTTTTAAAGTTATTGATCACTGAACATTAGCTGATTTTATTTTTTTGCACATCAGCTCATTAAAGGCTCTGAGAAGTCCTGCTGTAGAGAGATTTGTTTAATTCCATTGAATCTGCCCTTTCCCCATTTATTTGAATATGGAACATCTGTTATACTTTGTGGAATATCAAGCATGAGACTAGAAATGTTCTTTCACCAGGTCTTCACCACATGACTCTCACAATAGATATTCAGAAAAAAAAACCCAAAATAGTCAAAGACTAAAAACACTCCCCCATTCTACCATCTAATCACTAATGTTTGCAACAGGCCTGCATGCTCGGAAAAAAACCAAAAAAGGACATACATACACATATATAGGAAAAACTGGGTTAGAATTTTGAGAGTAAGTCATAAATTCTGAAGGAAGGAGGCATCTAGATATAATTGATCATGGGAACGAAGACTAAAACCTTTCCGATCGGGCATTTGTGATTCCCACTGGCTGAACCGCACTCTTAGTAACTTCTGGAATCATATGAAATGAACATGGAAAAAAAAATACTTATTCATTTGCATGCACATTTCCTTTAAAGTCATAAGTGCTCTTTTCACAAGGTAGCAAAGGTTCACTTCATTATTTCAAATGGCTCTTTCCCAGAATCAACTCCTGTGACTTTAAAAGCTGCCATTGCTTCCCCATTGTAAACTTTAATTAAAATGAATATGTATCATTGCTTTCAGCAGCTGCATTTGTAATAAATGTAAAAATACATTCAAGTCTTGCCCAAAATGTTTCAGATAGCTTTATCTGAACGAGCAAGCACTTTGATGCTATTTCAAAGGATTGTATCTACAGAAAACTTTCAGAATCTCGCCCTTACCTAAAATAACTAAAATTTCATGGAAATACAAGGAACAGTTACCAACCTAGCTAAAATCTATTTTATTGATCTTAGAAAGTAGCGTGTTAAAACATGAACCCCTGAGCTTTGAACCATTCGGTACCTCGGTGTTTCTGCAACATTTGTGTATAATGCACTGAAAAGAAAAGCTAAAAGAGGCAGAGGGGTGCTCCTAATTTAAGGAATCCTAATGGTCTAAGATAATGGTCTCATATAATAATCTGAGCTGCATTTCCCCAGCTTATTATCAAAGATGCACCTACTGCCCAAAGTCGCATTCCAATACTCTACACTCAGAGAAGTTGGAACAATTAGAATGCATCTAAGAGTTACATTCCATGAACTTTTCTGATCCCTTTCCAATTTCCTGCATTGGGGCTAAAGTTTGTTTGTTTGTTTGGTTGTTTGTCTGTTTCAAAATACTTCATAAGGCGAAAGTGAGGATGAACCTTAGGCCATGCCTCCACCAAGTTACCCCACTATCCCCCAAATATCATAACTAGAAGCATCAAGAACAGTTAGATTAGATCATTCACACTTCCATTTTAAACATAATATTCTGAAAATGTAGACACATATCTGAAAATACTGTCAACAATACTTCCTCCCAGACAACCATGCATTAGCAGAAAAAACTTCAAAGCTTCTAAGGAAGACCCTGTAGAAATACTTAACAGAAGAGTCATGTGTATCCACGGTTTCTCTAAGAGTTGGGACCTTACCCTTCCATCCCGCCTCCTCCCAGATCAGCTTTTTGGACGGCCAGTTGACCCCGTGGCCATGCTCTCACTGAGTTGTATAAAGGCCCTCTTCTTTTCCTAATTATTTCTCACTTTCTGCATTTTATCTCCTGGGATAACTAAATGTCATTTTTCAACTGGGAAAATGTTTGGTTTTGAAGTTCTAGTAAACACATTGATAATTAAAATTATTTTTCACATCATGCAATTTGATAACATATTTTTCATAAACTATCAATCTGCAGGAAGCATGGGTAGTTCTTCAGTTAGTATGAGAAGGGTCTGCATTATTTATATAAACTTAGACATTTCAAAGGTGATTGAAAATAATTGATTTCCAAATCCTGCATAAAGTTTGCAAAAGTTAACACATGGAATGTTAAGCTTTTATTTTCCATGTTAGCAGATGAAAACTAGGAATCACAGGCACCGAATCACTAACCAATTTCAAGAATTAATGTGAACATTTGAGTTCTTCACCAAATTTGAATACGGGAATCAAACCATAAGACTTCATAATAGCCATTCATGCAACATACACCTATCACATTTAACTGACATTCAGTCTTTTGAATCCAGAATATGGAGGTTTCCAACATCAATGTGTCTGATTGCCTCTCATACACCACTTTTCCAGAAAGTATGTCTGAAAAAGAAAAGTTTCACAATTGTGAAGTTTGTCGTCTATGGCAATGCTTTACCCTGCTTTACAAAGCAACCAACAGTCCCAAGAAAGGCTGTAAAATAACCACACTTGCTCTTCTCAATGAAAACACTACTGTTCGCCACAAATAAAAGAAGTTTTTAGTCCCACTCCACAAATTCTAAGTTGTTTCCACATGGGATACCACAGCATAGTTAATGATTTATAATGTCTTTATCACAAAGATAACTACAAATGAAATTGAAAAAAAAAACACGGGCACCCCGCGCAGCCCCACATGGGTGCATTTACTAGGATGTTTCCTCATTTTACTTACACTGCCTATTTATTCACTCCTTGTAAACCAAAAAAAAATAGCTCTGGAATGTTAGCATCTAAGTGCTTCAATACAAAGAATTTTTGTAGATGTTAAATGTCGCTTCAAAAAGCTATTAAAAACACATATAAGTTGAAGGAACATATTTCTGAGCGCTCTGTTTCATTATATTCCTCAATCGAGGCAGTGACTGCTCAGAGGACAGCTCACTCTGCCCAGAGAGTTTAGCTTTGTATTCCAGGGTCTATGTGGAAGTGATATCTGTGCAAAACGACTTGGTAGATCGGATGACAAGTAGCAGGCAGCCAAGATGCCAAGTCTGATTAAAGTTTACAAGACACGCCGCCCCTTTTCTAAGGTTTCTTAGTTATGTGAGAAATCAGAACGTGGGGGGATTGCATGATAACCAGAAAAGACATCACAAAAGTGTACCAACTCATCTTTGGAGATAGGTATAGACACAGGTTATAGATTACAGATTATAGCTGTCTCCCCACTGAGCTTTTCACTTGGAGCACAGTACTTCTCTAACAGTGAGAATTCAAATGTGGATACTTCCGAGCAGTAAGAATTCCCATGTAACTAGAATTACGAACAGGGAACAAAAGAAGCCATCCAAATTACAAGATACACCACAAATTCAACATAATAAAAAAGGACTTTTAGAAGATGTGACAGAGTCCTCTCCTATCCACTGAAACAGCATCACTAAATATGGGGAGGGGGCAGCATATAAACACAGAGAAGCTAGTGAAACAGAGTGGGAACACAGAGGGGATGGGTTGATCAAAACCACTTTGCTGCCTGTCCCTTGTTTCTTCACGTCCCTCCCACCTTCGGCTGTGGTCACAAATCTTACAAATGCAAAACCCAGTTTAAGAAAAGAAAAAAAAAAACGGAAAGAGTGTGACTAGGTTTACTACCACAGCAGCCCTAAAGAATTTTCGTGCGAAAGCAAAGCAGTGGGGATGTAGTAGCAGTAGCAAACCTCCCGCTTCCCCACCCCTGATACGGTACCTCCAGATTTGCCCGAGCTGCAAGATGTGGATGAGTGACTGCAGGAGCCAGATGCAGAAGGAGCAGGACGCAGACCTGTGCTTGCCGCTGGCCCGGGTGGCCCCGCTGCTGATGCTGCCGCTGTTGGTGGCGGCGATGTTGCTCTTGCTGGCGTTGGAGGCTTGCCTTTGCGGCGTGGAGGGGCGAGCCTCGCCTTCCGCGGCTGCAGACCCGCCGCTGGCCACCGTCTTGCAATCGGCTCCAGGCTGCGGGCAGCTGGCCGCGGCCGCGGTCGTGGCGCTGTCCTCGGTGCTGAAATCGTGCGCAAACCAGCGGAAGCTGAACACCTGCACCGAGAGCGAGCCGAGCACCACGAAGAAGAGCGTGAGCCCGAACCACCAGCGCTGGCCGCGCAAGTAGTAGTCCACGGCGAGCCAGATGTCCGTGCCCACGTCCGCGAAGTACACGGCCACGGCGGCCAGGATCCAGAGGCAGTCCCACAGCGAGTAGCGCCGCTGCTCCCTGCCCAGGCGCAGGCACAGCGCCGCCGAGCCCGCGCCGCCGCCGCCGCCCGGGCCGCCCGAGCCCCCGGAGCCGCCGCCCGAGCCGCCGCTCCCGGCGCAGCAGCAGCAGCAGCAGCGCGAGCAGCCGCCGCCGTCCGGGCAGCAGCCGCCCCCGGCCGCCTCCTCGTCCTCGGCTCCCGACCCCGACGGCAAGCCCGGGGCCAATCCCTGCACCGAGCCCGAGTGGTCCGAGTTCTGCAGCGGGGTGAACGCCACGTCGCTGCTCTTCTTCATTTTCAGCCTCCCGTCTGACTTAGCGGCCATGATGCCTCCAAACCGGAGGAGAGCCCTCCTTTATCTGACACCTTTCCCCGCTGTCTCCTCCTCCCGCCACCTCCTCGCCTCGCCCCGGCTTCCCTCCCCGGCGGCGCGGCTCCCCCTCCTCCCGCTCCTGCGCCGGCTCGCCCGCCGCCGCCCGCCGCCCGCCGGGCTGGGCGCTGGGCCGGGCTAGCGGCGCGCCCGGGGCCGGCAGGAGCGCCGCCTGGCTGCCTGCGCGGAGCCAAGCGGCTGGCGGCGCCCCGCGCGCGCCCCTGGCAGCCGCCCGCGCCGCTCGCCGTCCCGGCCCCGCGGCTGCCGCCCGAGCCGCCGCCGCCGCCAGCAGCAGGAGCAGCAGCGGCCGCCGCGGCGCTCCTCGGACCTGCACATTCCTCTCCTCCCCTCGCGCGCGCTCCCTCCTCCCGCTTCCTCTCCTCCACCAGCTGACTCCGAGGGAGAGGATGACCTCATCCCTTCTCTTCCAGCTGCCGCCGCTCCCACCCCGGCTCGGGAGGGGCGAGGGAGGAGGAGGGCCCCGGAGGAGGGGCCGGGACCGAGACTCGCGCCTGCGGGGGGGGGGGGGGGCGGCCGGCCGGTCCCCGGGGCCGGGAGCGGCGGCGGAGAGGTCGAAGAGGGACGGTCGAGGGGCCCCAGCTCACGGGATTTCGGGGCACGCTGGGTGGATTTGAACGACACCGGGGGAGGGGCAGGAGGGCGCCGAGAGGAGGGGTCTCGGCGTCCGGCCCTCGCGGAGGTCGAAGAAGAGTGGGCACGGGCGGGTGTGGCGGCGGCGAGGCCTCGGGGGGCGCAGGCCTCTTTGTACTGCGCTCCGAGCTGCGGGTACCTGGACCAGCCCCGGGTGTGCAGCTGGGACTGGCGGCCGTTTGGGAGACGGGGTGTAACTCGGACACTGGGGCCCCGAATGCTCGCCGCGGCGGTGGGCGTGCCCGGCCTCGGGAGAGCCGAGAAGGGAGAGGGCACGCAGAGTCCGCAGAGGCTCGGAGCCCAGCGTGGAGCCGCGGCCCCGGAGCGCGGCGGCGAGGGGGCGGGTCCGCGGGGAGCCCCAGCCCGCGCCCTCGGGGGAGGGGACGCGCGCCGGGCTGTGCCCGCGCACCCCTGCCGGGAGGCGAGGAGGCGGCCCGGGCACCCTCCGCCGCCCAAGCCCACGCCGCCCGGCCGGCACGCCCCACGCGCTCCCCGCCGCCGGGCAGCAGCTGAGCGGGGGGAGTGGCGGCCTGGCGGCCGCCCTCCGCCCTATCCCCCTCGGGAGGGAAGCGCAGCACCCCAGGCGGCCGCCCTCCGCCCTCTCCCCCCTCGGGAGGGAAGCGCAGCACCCCAGGCGGCCGCCCTCCGCCCTCTCCCCCTCGGGAGGGAAGCGCAGCACCCCTGGCGGCGGCTCCCGGCGCCGCGGGGAGGCGGGGCGGGGCCGGCCACCCAGGGGAAACGGGGTACCCGCCGGCAGGTAGGGAGTGGCGGAGCCGCGAGCTGGCGCCACCTCCCCTACTCCAAGACTAGAATCCCCTTCTCTTAAAGCTGTAGGAGTTAGGGACTTGAGGTGTGGTCCCACAGCTCCAGAAATGACTCGAATAAATTCAATCTGTGATGTGACTGCTTCACCAGATGAGAAATGAAGAGCATGTAGGATAGTTGGGGGCTTGAAAAAAACCTTTAAAAACCCAACGCATGTAGGATCCTCATTTAAGAAAAAAACAAAAAAAAAAAAAAAAAAACACAAGAAAACTTAGTCTGCTTTGCCTCACTTAACTTTTGCAGTGTAAGTGACAGAGGGTGTAATTCTTTAATTACACTGTGACTCACGTGTTTTAAGACCAGAGGGAAGTGAGGCAACACGTGTTACACTGCCATTAAGACACCAGTTGTGGTCTTCTAAATCTGGAGGCAAAACATAACACCCTCCTCTCCTTCCCCGTCGTAGACAGGAGGCTCTGTTTGAACTAGCGTGTGTGTGCCATTCTTAATTAGTAGCATCATGAAGGAGAAGTGCAGGGGGAAAATTCTCGGCGGGTAGAAATAGCCACACCGGGCATCTGGTGCTGCAGCTCATCTGCTGTTGGAGCACCAAGCTGGACCACTCGCCCCGCGCCTAGAGGCAGGCGGCCTCCTATATTCTTACAGACTGGGGTCCTGGGCGCTCTCTTACTTGGCGGTTCCTAATCCAGTGGCAGGCGGGTGTTGGGCCACAGAGCCCATAAGCATTACCTGGCATGTACAAATCCGTGATGTCTAGCAAAAGTCATGGCCAAGTGGTGAACAAAGGTCAATGCAGTATCACCGAGCCAGTTAGAATGCCAAGCAAAGGGCATATTTTTAAATCTAGCTTTAAACTTGGATCCTGTTGGAGTAAGAAAATCCTTTCTAAAACAACACTCTATTGCGATTTCCCCAGGGTCCAAATCTAAGATTCCATCTCCATGGCACCAAGGTCTCACTGGGGAAGGGTGTGATCTCTTAGGTGACAGATCCTAAGGGATGGAGTGTATTCTAGGTCAAACGCACTGCCTTAAAATTGTACCAGATGTGAAAAGGACTTGCAGAGTTTCTGAGCTTCTCAAGGCCTGGAGCGACTGAAGGTTCTTTTAGAGCAGGGATCTCTCTTATTCAGTTGTATCGTACGCACCTAGCACAGCACCTGCACAGACTATTTGCTCGGTAAATTACAGTTGAATGAATGCATGCATTTATAGAAAGAACATTCCATAACAGGAAGAATGCTACATTCTGTGCTAACTATGTTCCCATGGAAACATCGGAATTATGAGACTTACCCAGTTTGGTTCTAAGAAAGAAATAACTAGTAATGGTTTCCTTAATAACACATTTACTCAAAACTGTCTAGACCCTTTTTAAAAGTTTCTGTCTGGACCATCTCTGGAAATGAGACAAGAAGTTAGTGGAAGGAGAGCAAGTAGATGAGCATTCCCATCCTGGTTCTGCTGCTTACTGGCCCCAGGATCTGGGCAAATTGCTTAATACATAGGATTCATAGGAGGATTAGATGAGATAATGCATATTACTGGGCTTTGTATACAATATTGTTCTCAAGAGTCTCTAATCCTGTAAGTCTATTATTCACAACTCAGGATCCGGATTTTAATATCACCTGCTCTATCATAATCATTGCATTTGTCAAGGCTAATGGACATAATGGTTAAGCACTCAGAGCTTAGACTCAGACAGAGGCGCCCTTGGGCATGTTATTTAACCTCCCTGGCTCTCGTGTTTATCATTAGTAAAATAGGGATGATCATAGTCTCTAATATCCAGCGTTGTTGCCGGGAATAAATTAAATGATACATGTAAACTAACACCGTGTCCAATGTCCAGCACGTTCAAGCACTAAATACACAATTCTGTTAATATTCTTCATGTTTCTTCCACCCCCTCATGGTTTTTTTTCTTGGTTTTTTTTTTTCTTTTAATGTTGACTTATTTGTGAGAGGGAGAGCGTGAGCGAGGGAGGGCAGAGAGAAAGGGAGACACAGAATCTGAAGCAGGCTTCAGGCTCTGAGCTGTCAGCACAGAGCCCGACAGGGGGCTCAGACTCACAAACCACAAGATCATGACCTGAGCAGAAGTGGACACTCAACCGACTGAGCCACCTAGACGCCCCTTCCACTCCCTCATGATTCCTGGTTTAACTCTCAAACATAATGTTCAGCTTGTCAACTCTCCCTAAAATTAGATTTCCTCAAAATACCAACCTTGGACTGACTGCATCTTGAATCAGTTGGTTTTTAATGCAGGTTCCTGGGCTCAGTGTACTATAATCTCTCCTTCAATGATCTGATCTTCCACTTTATGTCAGAAGTTCACCTCCATTGTAATCTAAACCATGCAAGCATCCCACTGTGGTTAATCCCTCCTGCATACTTAATTCACTCCCTCAGGCACCCCGGGATTCCTTTCTACTTCATTTTCATGACTTTTAACCTGATCTTGCCCGCAGTTGTACTTTCTTCCTTAAGAGCTGAACTTCATGGTCAGCCACCATCAGTCCTGCCTCAAACACATCATCTCTGTTGTCTCTCTGACTCAACCAAACACCAAGCCTGTTTAAACCCTGCTTTCCACTAACTGGGAGCCTGAGTCCCTCCAACCAGCTGTGGGCAGAGGAAAGGTGCAACCAAGCTGTCTGAGCTCCTTTTCCACCCACCACAAAAAGCCTGCAGGGGACTCTAGGCTCAGCATCACGTTGTGCCTTTACTTGTCCCTTTTCTACTCTTCGAAATCATCATTTTTTGTTCTATTTTCCCTTCTCAAAGGGAAAATGGCATCTCCTCCCATTTAGCTGAGAAAAACGAAGCCATCAGAACAGAACCCACAAAGCTCTCGGTACCTCCCTTCCCGCCTACCAGTATGTGTACCAACATACTCAGCCTCCTGCCCATACAAGGAGACCCACTTGCTCACCAGCTCCCACCCCTTCTCACTTCTCAGGAGCACAATTCAAGGCTAACTTCAATAATCGTTGATTTTCTCTCTGTTGGATCATTCCAGTTGGCATACAAACATGCTCTTATTTATCCACTAGTTTAAAAAGAAAGCAAAAACAAACACACACACACACACCCCAAAACATTTTTTAATTCCAATGCCCTTTTAGCCATCATTAAGTCTCCCTAGAAGCTTCCACACAAAGTTCTTCTAGAGTTACCTAAGCTGGCTTTCTTCAGCTCCTCCTCTCCTCCTAACCTCTTGCACACACTCAGATAAACCCAGAGCAGCCTCCAGAAAAACTGTTCTCACCCAGTGCACACCGTCTATCTCTACTTTTCCTAAATATCCCATTTCTCCTCTTAACTCAGGCCCTTCGGAGGCATTGACCTCCCTGCTCACTGAAATACATTCTTCACTTGGCTTTCACTGTACCACAGACTCTTGGTTTTTTTCCTTCTCCAAGCCTGCCTCTCTGCTAATTCTGGGTCCTTTGCTAATTCTTTCTCATTTCCTCTATCTTTAAATAGGCTCAGTCCTCAAATCTTTCTCTG